TTGCTTGGTGGAAAAGACATGAGGACGTTTTGCCCAGATGGTCAAGGGAAGCACGAAAGATTTTCCTCTGCCAGCCTTCGTCTGCTGCAGCAGAACGAGCCTTTTCTCTCCTGAAAGCATCCTTCAATGAACAGCAAGATTCAGCACTGGAAGATTATATTGAAACATCCCTGATGCTGCAATACAATGGACGCGGTCTTGGACGGTGATGATTGTGATGAATGATGATAAACTATTAGTATTATCTGATTATCTGATAGTATTAGTGATGGACTGATGGTCCTGAATCCTGATGGACTGATAGACTAATAGTCTTAGTAATATACATTACTACAGTCTACACTCTACAGTCTACAGCCTACAGCCACAGGACCTGTTACTCCTGTTAGACTAGTCTGTTAGGATTTAGGAATTAGGAACCTAGAAACATTGTTGTATTCATATTTCATACATTGTTACAGTTGGGAGTTAACAGTTACCACTTCTCATGTTTTCATGTTTGAGTATTTTTAACACGGGCCCGCCCCGGGGCCCGGGGGCCGGGAATCAGCGGATGTGCATGTTGGAATTGAATTTTCTTCGAGCATAATTCGAGCATAATAGGTTTTTTTGTGAGCATAATAGTTGATTTAACGAGCACTGCTTCTGGGCATAATAGCTGAATTTTCGAGCATAATTTATCCAGGCCTAGTAACTACTAGTACTACAATGTTTGACGAAAACTAACATTTCAGAACATGCAGCTAAAAGGTCGTGAGAAAAGTTTTTACCATCTTTGGGACTATCTCGCGCCCATTCTGTCCCCGATGAATTAGTTCCACTTGTGGGTGCACTCGAGGTTATCGTTGGATTTTGAAGTGAACCACTGCTGTTTCTACTTGTTTCCACCTAGGAAAATGTATTTAGGTTATTGATTAAAACGGTTTTACAGACTACATAATATCTACTTTATAGAAATATCTACGAACATCACTATGAAATTCAAAACAAGAGCTACACACCAATGTCAATCTCGAGTCTTCCTCCAAATTTGATTTAATAATTGTTATTTCTCCTTCACAAGGAGAGGTGACAATCCTCTGACCTCGCCAATAATCTAGAACAGGGCATATTAACCTGCCACTTCTTGATCTCTTGAACAGTAAAATAAAATAAACCGATAAATAAAGATTCGCCAATTTACAAACAGGAATAGATTTTCAAATCCAAGCAGTTCCGGTCTCTTTCTACAGCAAATTTATATCCAAGTATATTACATCAAATTATCAAAATCTTGTTGACCGCATTTGAAGCATTATTGTACGCCGAAAGTAAAGAAATTAGGGTCAAAGCAGTGTATTGTATAGCTGTGGAGTAATAGAGTTATAAACGTCCTTATATACTCCACGGGTACAATTACGTCCTTATATAAAGTCCACGGGTACAATTACGTCCTTATATAAAGTCCACGGGTATACAATTACGATTAACATTTCTATCGCGCAAACTTTTCATGTGGATATGATCAAATGCGCTTCACATCAAGTATTACTTTATAGCCTAGACTATTTTAACTGACTCTTTTCACATGAGTCCGTAGCGAGAATCGAACCCACAAACTTAGAGGTGAAAGGCGCTTGCTATACGCCACCAGATGCCCGGGTACTCTTATTCATGCATTTATTTGCTTTGTCCAGGGACTTTTTATTATTCATACCTGAACTTCAATTTCGTCTGCATCATTTGACTCAGATGTATCTGAAAAGAAGCATGTGTTGTTTTACTACGGCTGGTTAAATTTTCTGTTTGGTCCTTTGTTGGATAAATTTGTTATATATTGCACGTTTAGAAGAAAAACATGTGTGGGTTTTGCAACTTTTTGAAACCAGACTTCGAGTCTTTCCTGTGTTCTTCCCAGTATAATATTTTCTGGAACTGGCATGCGGTGGACAATTTTCTAATCTCACGGTGCAAGAAACGGAGACATGCTCAATGAGCAACCTGGGTGGTGAACAGATCTACAGTAGCTTTGACTGAAAATTGATAATCAGCCACTTACTTTTGAGCGAGTGTTTCCCTTTCTTTTTACGATTTTGTATACGGTTTGATGCAGATGATGATGTTGTTTTAGCTTTTGATAAATCATTTCCTCTGGTGTTTCTGTTTGAATACGTCCTACTTCGCAGCCTGTCAGTCTTCCACGCCATTTCATCATCCATACTATGTACCGCATTTGTTTTTTCACTTGATACTCTGTTTGTTATATCTTCTGTTATATCTTCTGTTATATCTTTTGTTGTATCTTCTGTTATGTTTTCTGTTATATTTTCTGTTATATTTTCTGTTATATCTTCTGTTATATCTTCTGTTATATCTTTTGTCATCTTTGGCGTTTTCCTTTCATTATAGACTTTGACAATGTTCTCCCTTAAATAGCAAATACATACATTATCACATTCAAAAAAGTTTATTCAAAGACTCGAAGGACATGGAACAATATACATGCGGTAAGAGCGTACATAGAAAGGAATATAAAATAGTCGTCTTGAAGATTATACATGCAAGGTGTATAAAAACAACTGAACATATTTGAAATTGCTCTCAATTCCGCAAAACAGCTATTAACGTATCCAGTTTTTGATATATAGCTTCTTTGGGTACTTATAATGTAGAATAATGGAAAGTTTCTCAAACTCATGCAATTTTTGTAAACCAGGGGGTGTCTCTTTTCCGACAAACTAAACATGGCTTGCGCACGAGATTTAAAAGCTTTAATTGTATTTTGAGTTAATGGGTGAAAAACGTGTTGGGTGTTTAATCGCTGCACGAAATCTCAGACAATTTGCTTCAGTTTAAGCCATTTAACTAACCATTTAACACATTTTCCATCCATTAACTCAAAATAGATTAAAGCCTTTAAATTTCGGGTGAAAGCCATTTTTAGTTTGTTGGAAAAGAAACACCCCCCTGGTTTATAAAATTTGAGTTCAAGTATTTTTTTTCATTATTCTACATTATGGGTACTCAAAGAATCTATATATAACAAAAACTTGATACCACGGGCTGTTTTGCGAAATTGACAGCAATTTCAAATCTGTTCAGTTTTTTTATACACCCTGTATAGCTATTTAATTTTCCAATTGTGCACGATTGCTTATTTTTTAAATTCGAGCGATTGGTTGGTAAATATAATTGGGATTAGAATTATGATTGTCAGAAAGTTGCCATATGTCCCATTTCAAAACGCCGTTATAAGAAAAGAAATATTATCCATACAACTTCTCAGGAAAAGCTTGAACGTGATTTCACATTAGAGCGTTGAGGTAGTCAAGTCATGCCGAGTTTATACAGTAGCATCATGTAACACACTGCCATTGTATTTCATAGCAATGCCGCGGATGAATAAACTGGTCTGACTGACGCCTAAAATATGATTAAATAAATAAAAGTTTACTTAATATTGCATTAAGGTGACTCGATACAGTTTTCAAAAATTCAGGTGTTTAACACTTTGACATGTTCAAACTACGTACGCATTTTTAGGATTTATTCAGCAGACATTGTTTTTTTTTATATATTTTGATAACTCTACTTTCACATTATATTAGTTTTAGTAACAGATAGTTCGTTGCTATGACGACATGCGTGTACGAAATTCACTCCAAAATGGCCTATCGTCTCGTATAGTTGGAAAAAAAGCATGGTGACCCCCAATTTTTTTTCGTGCATTATTTTATTTGGACGAAAAGCTAACAATTAGCAAAATATAAAAAAATTCTGTAATGGCATTTTTTTGGAAAATGCGAAAATGTCGTATTCTTCGGTAAAATTTTTTTGGCATTACATTATTTTTTGTAAAATGAAAGTTTTTAGCGGTGCAATACAGTATGCAAAATTTGAACGGCATAGGTCACCAGACAAAATAAAGAGATATAGCGCATTGTTTTTCTAAAATGGAAAATTCTAATGACGTCAGCAATTGACATAAAACGCTATATGTCCTATATATAGAACACGCGCAATGGCGTGATATGGCGCGAGCAACTGCTCACGTCAGGTCATTTTGGAAGTTCTTTCATTTTGATTTTTCCGCGACCTGCGCGTAATGGTCACCCGGTTTTGAGTTATCGAGCCACCTTAATTTAGAGCTTATATGAATTTAGCACTAAGGGAAAGTACATTTATTATGCCGAGGGGGGGGGATGAAGATGTTAAGGGGGGGCTCCGAAATATTTTCTGGCATTAAAGGGGGGGCTCTGAAAGTTCTTGATATACTGAAGGGGGGGGCTCTAAACTTTTCAAAGGTTTGACCCCAGCAAATAAAAGTTAAAATTTTTACATCAGTTTCAGGTAAAATTTGCGTAATAAAGTAATTATTTTTGTGAAATGATAACCATTTTTGTAAAATACAGTCAATTTACATGCAATTTGTTTGCGAAATTTGCTTTAGAAAACGCCAGAAATTCAGTCCTAGAGCTTCAAAAATGTAAAAATTTTCTGGGGGAGGACCCCCAGACCCCCCTTTTCTCCCAAAACTTAGTATGAGAGTGCCAATACGTATAATCCTCTGACACCCACCCACCCCCAAACGTCAGATGCTTTGCTACGTCCCTGATGGTTGTATTCGAAACCGATTTCAGTTTTAAGATATCCTTAGTCTGCTCTTCTAAATGGATACATGAAATCACCTATAGCTTATTTTAAATTTTTTGGCGCCAGGTTTGTGAAGTAACTTACGCGCCAAAAAGTAGCAGTTCCAAAAACAAAAAAGCATATACGATTTGCAAGAATGATGTGTTCTATGTTTATGGGATATTTCGTACAAACGGAATGGAAATTAAAAAAATTGAAGCATAATGGCACTTTTGCATGCATTTTTGACAGGCATACAAAGACATTTGCAACAGATGCCGGGAGACACTTGGGTGGGGGCGACATACTGTAAGGTTCCAGCACATTACCCTGATCCAGGAAATCCTGGCCACTACATGAACGTGTTCAAGACTCCGAATACGCTGAATGATGGACAACAACAACTTGTTGATAATTTCACCCCTAGAGCCAATTTAAAATGTTTTAAAGACGGTGCCATTTCATCTGGCGCTAGTGAGGTGAAAGAAGCAGCAGATCGGTAGTTTTGTTGAGGAGAAGCACATGCTTGAGTATATCAGACATCTTGAGGAACTGCAAATTGTATGTATGATAAGAGAGAATTCTGGATTGTACTCCTTCGATTCCGAATTCTAGAGGGGGGGCATTGAAAATTTTAAAAACTTGGAGGGGGGGCATCGAAATTTACCGATAACCTCAACAGGGGCCCTGTAAAAATATGAGCTTTTTTCAAGACATCTTCATCCCCCCCCCTCGGTGTAATAAATGTACTTTCCCTAACGTCATAAAGTGAAGGACGAAACAGGCTTCGAATAAAAATGCCATCTCCTGTCTGATGATGAATTTGCAAAAGCTCGCTGAAATATCATATGATTGTGAAACAATTTTCTCTTGTTGTTCTGAAATTTTTAGCTATAGGGGCATATATTAATGGCCCATTAGTACTGGTGTTACTGCGGGAGAAAAACGAGAGTAGATTGAGAAATATGGTAGAATAAAACTGGAAGCACTTCTTTCACATATGACTGAGGTTAATTTATAATCAGACAGCTGAATATGAATAACCTCTGTGGGGAAGAGAAGAAAGGAAGGACACGTGTACTAACTATTGTACTGCCAACTCCCCCTCAAATTGATGGAGTAGTATAGCACTGAAGAACCAGAGGAGGAGTGAGGGTCTTCCCACAATGCATTGCGTCTCATTATTATTCACAATTACGATTTTTGGCAAACGTTAACGAAAAAGTTGTTGAAATATATTGCGATTTTTGGCTCTGACGATCTCGTTTTTTCGAAGGTATGTGATGATAATTGTTTTGTTTGGACATCTAATTAAACAGTTTTATATTTTTTTGGTATAGATATTGCTTTTTAGTTATGCTAATTACGCATTGTATTTATGCTTGTTTTGGGTCAATGGACACGCCAAAAAAATGGCTTTGAAATAACGCAGGAGCGAACTACCTTTTTTAATGAGAAAAGTAAAAAAAAACACGTCATTAAATTCAGGAAGACTTGCTCTTTCTGTTGGTTCTTTAAAACGCTAGATCGCTCCTCCAAATCGACAAGCAATCGCGGTTTGAAAATGGGGTATTTTTGCTATATTTTAATGCCGATGGCGGGAATAGACCGGGTGTTGATCCTTATGGCGCGAAGGAAACTATTTTCTATGTCTTTGAAACATACGCATGTAGTTGTTACATATCTTGAGTGTAATGTTACCTTTACAATTAAGGTCAGAATGTTAGTTTTAATACTGTATTGACTGTATTTTTGTCATTTTGTTATAGAATTCGGACATGGAATCATGCAGATAATAGTGATGTTGTCATTGTTAGTGACGAATGAAATGATACTGCCATATTAAAAGCGAGTATATACGAGGGTATATACGTCTAAAGGTGATACCCCAGGGAGACCTAATAATAAGAGACACAAAATTTCACGTTTGAAGAATTCAACATCAAGTCGAACTTTGTTTCAGAGTCCTGGAACATCACCAAAGGTATAAAAGTACAAAGGTTTTTACAAACATAAAATACAGTACGACTGTACAAAAACATTGTATTTTAAACCCTTTAAGTGGCAATACGCCCTGATGCACCCTACTTTAGTATTTTACTCTGTCTAATGCTAGACCATTTTACTCCTCAAGTGGAGAGTGCTGCCACTCAATGGGTCAATGAGACAATGAGATGTTAATGGGGGGGGGGCTAAAAGTTATTATCATAGTAACAATAACATTGTATTTTAATGCTTTTTTGCCTGTGAGAATTTCTGTCCATAGGCGTACGAGGCTGGGGGTTGCAACCCTCCAGTCAGTGTTCAGTTGGGCAGGATTCTGCTTTAAAAATTGGGCAATTGTTTTAAGATTGACTTCAAACAGAATTTCTACAAGTCTGCATAGGAGTTATGTTCCTTCTATTTTATA